AGGCAGTCCATGAGTTCTTGTAGTAGATCTTCATTGTGGCCTATGAGGGCAGCATCATCAGTGAATAGAAGTTCCCTGATTAGCACCTTTTTGACTTTGGTCTTTGACTTAAGTTGGGACAGGTTGAAGAGTTTCCCATCTGATCTTGTGTGGAGATACTCTCCATCTTTCATGTCCTTAAACACAAAGTTCAATAGAACAGAGAAGAAGATTCCAAAGAGCGTAGGGGCAAGAACACATCCTTGCTTCACTCCACTTTTCATCTCAAAGCTCTCCAAAGTGGACCCATCAAACTGGACAGTTGCTCTCATGTTGTTGTGGAATGAACATATAAGACTTAACAGGTTGGTGGGCATCCTATCTTTTCTAGCATTGCAAATGAGTATTGGCATTCATGGCAGGACTAAGTATTCTCTAGACCATCCCTGACAGGTGTTTGTCTAACCTGCTCTTAAAAATCTCCAGTGATGGAGATTCCACAACCTCCTTAGGCAATTTATTTCAGTGCTTAACCACCCTGACAGGAAGTTTTTCCTAATGTCCAACCTAAACCTCCCTTGCTGCAATTTAAGCCCATTGCTTTTTGTCCTGTCCTCAAAGGTTAAGGAGAACAACTTTTCTCCCTCCTCCTTGTAACAACCCTTGAAAACTGTTATCCTGTCCACTCTGTCTTCTCTTTTCCAGACTAAATAAACCCAATTTTTTTCAATCTTCCTTCATAGATCATGTTTTTATACCTTTTAATCATTTTTGTTGTTGTTCTCTGAACTTTCTATAATTTAATCCACATCTTTCCTGAAATGTGGCGCCCAGAACTGGACACAGTACTCCAGTTGAGGTCTAATCAGTGCAGAGTAGAGTGGAAGAACTACTTCTCGTATCTTGCTTACAACACTCCTGCTAATACATCCCGGAATGATGTTCACTTTTTTTGCAACAGCGTTACACTGTTGACTCATATTTAGCTTGTGGTCCACTATGACGACCAGATCTCTTTCCACAGTACTCCTTCCTAGGCAGTCATTTCCCATTTTGTATGTGTGCAACTAATTGTTCCTTTCTAAGTGGAGTAATTTGCATTTGTCCTTATTCAGTTTCATCCTATTTACTGCAGACCATTTCTCCAGTTTGTTCAGATCATTTTGAATTATAATCCTATCATCCAAAGCACTTGCAACCCCTCCCAGCTTGGTATCATTCACTAACTTTATAAGTGTACTCTCTATGCCACTATCTAAATAATTGATGAATATATTGAACGGAACCAGACCCAGAACTGATCCCTGCGGGACCCCACTAATTATGCCCTTCCAGCATGACTGAACCACTGATAACTACTCCGTGGGAATGGTTTTCCAACCAGTTATGCACCCATCTTATAGTAGCTCCATTAAGGTTGCATTTCCCTAGTTTGTTTATGGGAACGTCGTGCGAGACAGTATCAAAAGCTTTACTAAAGTCAAGATATACCACGTCTACTGCTTCCCCCCATCCACAAGGCTTGTAACCCTGTCAAAGAAAGCTATCAGGTTGGTTTGACATGATTTGTTCTTGTCAATTCCATGCTGACTGTAACTTATCACCTTACAATCTTCTAGATGTTTAAAAATTGACTGCTTAATTATTTCCTCCATTATCTTTCTGGGTACAGAAGTTAAGCTGACTAGTCTGTAATTCCCCAGGTTGTTCTTATTTCCCTTTTTATAGATTGGCACTATATTTGCCCTTTTCCAGTCCTCTGGAACCTCTCCTGTCTTCCATGACTTTTCAAAGATAATTGCTAATGGCTCAGATATCTCAGTCAGCTCCTTTAGTATTCTAGGATGCATTTAATCAGACCCTGGTGACTTGAAGACATCTAACTTGTCTAAGCAATTTTTAACTTGTTTTTTCCCTATTTTAGCCTCTGATCTTACCTCATTTTCACTGGCATTCACTATGTTAGACGTTCAATCACCACCAACCTTCTTGGTGAAAACTGAAACAAAGACGTCATTAAGCACCTCTGCCATTGCCACATTTTGTTACTGTTTCCCACCCCCCATTGAGTCTTCCTCTTGCTTCTAATGTATTTGTAGAATGTTTTCTTGTTACCCTTTATGTCTCTGACTAATTTGATCTCGTTTTGTGCCTTGGCCTTTCTAATTTTGTCCCTACGTACTTGTGTTGTTTGTTTATATTTATCCTTTGTAATTTGCCTTGGTTTCCACTTTTTGTAGGACTCTTTTTTTTTTATTTTTAGTTCATTTAATATCTTCTGGTTAAGCCAGGGTGGTCTCTTGCCATACTTCCTATCTTTCCTATGAAGTAGGAAATGTATCCATCTCATCTCAGCATGCATTACAGTTTCAGGAGTGGATTGGGATAGAAGCAGAAGAGGAACTGGTTGCTAAAGGGCTATAATTTTGTAAAGCGTGCAGACTGCTTATATTGTTCTCTGCAAAATCTTTGAAAGCTTAACAAAAAATTCCAGATATGTAGAAGAAATTGCCATCTGTATAGTTTTAGCCAATGATATTGTTACTGGCCACTATTTTCTCTCTCTTCGCCAATAAAACACAGATCTGATCTCTTTAGAAATCCATCTAAAAATGATGGAAAGCCATACATAATGTTAAATCAGACAGTTCATTAATTAATAAGGAATATTTACTTCAGTTACCAGGAGGTAACAAATGCATGTTCAGAACGGCACCAGGCAGACAATCAAAGCAAAACATATTTAAATTTGTTCAAAATCAAACCACTAAAAGTAATCCATTTCACTGTTGATCATAGATACAATATTAGGCTTTGAAATTATTATAAAAACATTTTGTAACTGAAAAAATAAACATTGAAACTACTTCTGTCTTCACAGATTGAATTAATCAAATTATCAAAGTAATCTGTCTGAAAATACACCGATTACAAGAGGTAATTTCAGTACTGTTCAAAGATATTTGAAAACCAAATGAAATGCAATAGATGCCTGATCTGTATGTTGTTTAAATCAAAATAGTATTGTCATTGTAAACAATATACTGTAAATTAAGCACTGTAAATGTTTAATTTTTGTGTGTGTAGTTCAGGTTGAAGATAGTTAAGAGTGCAGAATACATACTGGCAGTTGTTCCCTGCCTTTATAAAAGGAAAAATAGTCATTTCTCTTGGATTAAGGCTAATTATGATCTGGACTGGTCAAAATGGCAAGATTTCAAAACCTTTTGGGGTCAGGGGATGGTGCTGTTTATATTTTAAAAAAAAAATTGTGTGTGTGTGCGGACAGTGCTGTTGGACAGAGTTAGTAGAGCTGCCTTCAAATCCCAAATCAGCCATTTTGTTCTGTTATGCCTTTATCCCGTACTGGATATTTTAAAAAGCATCCTCTTTCAAAACACTAAAAACTAACAGGAGTACTTGTGGCACCTTAGAGACTAACAAATTTGTGCCACAAGTACTCCTGTTCTTTTTGCGGATACAAATATCCCGTACTGGATATTTTAAAAAGCATCCTCTTTCAAAACACTAAAAACTAACAGGAGTACTTGTGGCACCTTAGAGACTAACAAATTTGTTAGTCTCTAAGGTGCCACAAGTACTCCTGTTCTTTTTGCGGATACAAACTAACATGGCTGCTACTCTGAATCCTAAAACTAGTACAATGTAGCTGAGCATTTCAGACAATAAGAGCCTGATTCAGCAGATACTTAAGCATATGGCTAGCTTGAAGCACATGAGTAGTCCCTTGCTGAACTAGAACCTAAGGTTCAAAATCTGCTCTGTTGCTCCCATTAACTTCAGTAGAGTTCTACCTGTATACCTCTTAAGTATAATTTGGACCTAAAGTAGAATATACACGTCTCAAGTTATACAGGAAATCTGAGGCAAACTTCATGATATGTGCACATTTGAGGGAAAAATCAATATTTTTCTGAATATACGTAAACTAATTTTCCCAGGTCTACAATACAGAAGATTATATAGATACTCTGTCTCCTTAATGGTTTTCAACCTAAGTGCCATAAAAAAATATATTCTGTAGCCATCGATATCAAATTTTGTAATTTATGCTTTCTGAATTTTGTAATTCACTTAATCTGCGTGTTGTTGTTTTTTATTGTTTTGTTCTCTTTTTACCTTGACTGTTTCCAGTTACTTTAATACTGTTTACATTAGATATGTTGAGAGTGACTAGTGCTGAAGTTTAGCAAAAGAAGTGCATAAATAATCAATGCATGATGTTTGAGGTGAATGGGAGAAGGGTACCAAAACAGGAACACTTGCTCGGGTATTCTTTTTTATTAAATCAAAACGTGAAATGTGTATCCGTGTTATAAACAATGATTTGTATTTATTTTGATGATTGTTTTATTTGTGTAATATTTCTATTTTTCTTTCCAGAATGATTTAAGTTACATTGTGGATATTTTTATTTTATTGACATGTATTATGTACTGTATTTTTAGAAATTTTATTTTTAAATAAAAATAAAAAATTCTGTTTTTCCTTCTCTGACCATCATTTAAAAATCAGATTACAGTTTAAATTGCTGCATTATTTATTTATTTGCTGTAAACACCTTGCTAATATTTTCTCAGTCTGTTTCAGATTTGCATCATATTTATTTGCTTTAATAATTCTGCATCTAAAATATATTTCTATGTTGATATGATCCAAAAATGAACAGGAGTAGAGAAAGTATTATGTATTCTAGAGTCTTATTGCCTCCATTATGGCTAAATTTGCTTTTATTTATTCTGCAGTGAATCTAACCTCATTCCCTCTTTCATAACCCTCTTTCCTGCAGGTCTTGGAAAGGAGAACTACTCTTAGAATATTGCTTTTTTTTTTCTTTTGTACCGCTTAAATGGGCCTGATTTTGCAGCCACACTCTGTGCATAATTTTCATTGATGTCAGAGTTCCAGATACAGAGCAGTTGCATATTTTGTTCTATTATAAAATAAATATTGGCTGTGGAAGCATTGTGAGGCAAAAAGTCCATAAATATTAGACTTACCACGTCTAAAGAACTGCGGGCCTGTACAATCCAGCATCGTTCATGAAGCCTGGTTTTACAAAAGAACACCATCTTGATTAATGTACCTTCTAGTTGATGGCAGCAGTTCTGCCTTCCAGGTGAGAGGTGAGATATGGTGATGGCTACACAAGGATATGGGGAGGAGAGAAAAAAAAACAGAAAGAAAGAAAGCTGTTAAGTAAAATGTGGGTGGGAAGAAATTGAACCCTGAAACAAACTAGATTTAGCAGTAGACAGAGCCATAGCAGTGATGGGAGAAGGGAAATTGTTCATTCCAACTCCGAGTATGGTTCCACCGCAAGAATCATGAGTAAAAGAAAAAGGGTGATTGTCAGGCATTCAAGGAAATTATTAAAATGGCAGAGTTGTGGTACTTCACGAGTAATGGCTTACTACTTGATGATGTTTCATGACACACGACTTGCTTGTTCTATTTCAAACCAAAAACCTGATTGTTTAATACTAATGATAATAATAATATCACTTTTATAATGATCCTTCCTCAAAAGCATAAAACTACCCTGTAAAATTCTATATTGTTTGTATATTCCAGAGAAAACAATTCCTACTTATTGCCAGTAATGTCAGTTTTTCTTGTCTGGAATTTTACTGGGCTCTTTCCCCATGTAATAATTTCAAATCTGGTTGATCTCTGCTACTTTATTTTATAAATTAGAAACAAATGAATCATGTTTGTCTCCTTTCTGATGTGTGGAACAGACCTTTTGGCACTTATTTTAAAAAAACGTATATATGCTGCAATATTTGAAATGCTTAAAGCTTTTTGAAAGATTTCTAGATATGTCTAGTCCTTTTATGAATGGAATGAAACAAAGTATTCAATAATACTTTGAGGCTGTAAATTGTGAGAGTGCCTGCCAGGTAGTACAGATGAACAAATGCATGCAAACCCTGCTGTAGTCTGACCAATTACCCATACGAGCAGCGATTATATTAGTATACAAGGGCAATTGGAGGGAAAATTGGACCCGGTGGACATCCAGCTGAGTAAACAGGCTTGAGGAAGGATGGAGGATGTGTTAGTTTGAGTAAAATACAGCTCAGCTAATTTAAAAAAAAAAAAAACAAGACCAGAACTTCTATCAGTCACAGCACATTCTTTGTATGTCCTCTAGTTTAACAATATTTTTCTTACTAGACTTCCCTTATCAAAAACACTCCTTTTACCAAAGGATTAGCTTGAGATCAGACACATTCTGAAATAGACTTTATGCAGTCGACCAAAATTTTGTGTTTCAGAAATACAGACCTGTACATAATTGAAATGGACGGGTGCTGTTGAGAAATAATGGTTATTTCAAGCCCCAGTAATATAATTTATCCCCAAATACAACATTCAACCAGGTCTTGATGATTATATGGATAGGATATGCTGCACAGATTCTATTTTTAATAACCTGAAGCTAACATTTGCGTGTATCCTTGGCCCAAATCCCTCCCTGCCCAGTATTGGATTCCAATTGTCTTTTCATTGCATCCAAGTGGTGTAAGTATATGGTTTGTGATCTATATAAATGCAAAGTATGATTATTCCTTCTTGATAACAGCAACAGGTATTGAATAGAAGGATGGTCCTGTAGTGTCCAGGTGCTACTTGACTTGAGATTGATACTTGAGAGACCTGGGTTCAATTCCCTCCTCTGCCACAGAATTCTCATATGACCTTGGGTAAGTCCCTTAGGCCTAGATTTACAAATGTATTTAGGCACCTAACTCAATTGATTTCAAAGGGAATTAGGTGCCTAAGTAGCTCTGTGAATCTGGACCTTAGTCTCTGAGCTTCAGTTCCCCATTTGTTAAATTGGGGATAATAGCACTTCTCTCCTTCACAGGGGTGTTATAAGGGTAAGATTGTGAGGTGCTCAGATACTACAGTAATGAGAGCTAGATAAGAACCTAAATTAGGTGTAATTTAGTTCTACAGATTACTGTGAAGATTTTAATTGATATTAGGATGGGGCTTGAGATTAGGAGATTTGTGTGCGCCGTGAGCTGGCAATCTTTGACACCTGACATCAATTACAATATTGTGATAAATACCAAAAAGATAGGGACAAATCGTTACTGTGACGTAGGAGAAAGGGCTGTCTGTGTCATAGTGCTCTCACAAGTTTAGAGTGAATGAAGCTGCATAATTAAAATGTCACTGACTGTTCCATACTGTGTGTCTGGGGAGGTGGACAGACCCCGAGCTGGTGTAAATTGTCATAGCTCCATTGGCATCAATATCATGATACAAAGTTTCTTGGGTAGGAGAGAGGGGAAACAGTGGAGACTTTAAAGAAAGCTTGCTCCTTGATACTTGACCACTCTTTTGACTTCATGTTTCCAGTGGAGTAGGTCACAAAATGTCTACCAATATCCGCTTTCTACTGCTGCTTTCTTACAGAGCTGTTGGTCATTTTGGAGGGAGTGGTGTTAGACCACATCTGTACACTACCTCACCCTGTTCCTCCTCATATTTTAAATTTTTAAATTGTGTTGAGGGGATATGTTGGTTTTGTGCGCATTTTAACAGGAAACCATAGAAACTGGGATACACATCTCATTTTACTTAAGTGTATAATGTCTGGAAACTGTGTCATTTATCTGTGCACTGGGGGAGCCAGGCTCAGGGCCACATCTAATGGTCCAAAGAGCAAAAGGATACATAGATAACTTTTCAAAGCATTTTCATATACATATGATTTGGTTGTACGTTTAGTTATGGCTTATTAATTGATTTTCTGATCACTTTGTGCTCTATTTAATGTATTGCCATATTTAAATCAGTATCAAGGAGAGTTTATAGGTAGAGGGCTCACACATTAATTCTTGGCTGGATGACAACATTTTGTAGTCTCATCCCATGGAAGCAAAACGGCTTAACTCTTCACTGGTTGAAGAGACTTGCACTAGAAAAAGAATGGCAAGATCAATTATTTTCCATTCCTTTAGCTGGCTGCTACATTTAAGGAGGCATGCTTGTCATGGCTGTCATTTCCATGACAAAACTGGCTTTTAGAGATTTGTCATAAATTATGGTCTTTTTCACCCTGGTCTGCCTGTTACCAAGAAAAACTCCTTCATGAAGTTTTATACATTTTTCTCGCTTTGGATGATTTACTATCTTTATATGTTATTAGGCCACTAATAGCAGCTATTTAGCATTATTTAACATTTTTCTTGCTTATGGGAACTTGCCCAGGTGATTATGGCTAGTTGGATTGTCAGTGGGGATTGCTAATACCTATGTTATTTACTTCAGGAGAGATTTTTCCAAAGAGCTCAGTGTTGGCCTAATTGTGCTTCCATTGAAGTAATAGTTAGGAAAACAGTAAACGTTTTGAAAATACTACCCTTGTATTTTTTTAAACAATTTTAAATTATTTGAAACCACCAAATTATGCACATAACTAGCTTGTGGGAACATGTGTTGTGTCCTTGTTACCCATGTCTTTCTTCTTTCCCTCCTTCAACGTATTGTTATATCCACTTGTCTTTTGTAAATCAGGATTGGGACGTTGTGTTTAGGAGATGGGTGAACACACATCTCTGCCACAAAGAGCTTCCAGTCTAATTTATGACAAGATCTAGCTAGTCTTTGTAACAAATAAACGAAGGTAGTTGGGTAGGGAGGACAACAAACTACTTGGAGGCACAATTAACAGGCTTGGAGGTTTTCTTTTTTAAAAACTTATGTTTTAAAATATGAACAGGAAATGTTAATATCAGAAATTCGTACTGCCATGTACATTATAATTATTGGCAATTGACTGTGGAATTAACTGATCACTTTGGTAAATTAGACCACTTATTTTGGCACAAAAATATAGACTTAGGAGTCTAGCTTTAGGCAACTGTTTTTGAAAATCTTGGGCAATATAATTTGTCATCTATATAGAAGCCTAAAAATCCCTAGGGGACTGAGAAATACTCTCTGGAACATAGTTCTGATGTATAGATTCTGTATACTCTGTCTGGGGAGGCACGGGGGAAGAAGCTGCATCCTGGAATCACATATCTTTGTTATCCTCTTCAGAAATCATAATGGTGATGGAGGCATTAGATGGGATGAGTACCTACATTTTTTTTAATGTGCAAACATTGGCAACTCTTGTTCTCCAGACTATCATCATTGATATCAGTCTTATCTTATACTCCCCTTTAAATTCCGTTTAGGTTTGACAGATGTCTTACTAATTGCACAGTAAAGTTTATTCATTACTTAATCATGTCTTACTATTTAAAAACAAGACTAGAAAATCTCTGGCAATAAATTGCAACATATAATAATTTTGGATTCAATAATTATTGCATTTTAGTTTAGTTAATGATGTATGTATATTTTCCCCACATCGTGAAATATACATTGAGACATTATAGGAGTGATTTAAAAAAACACAAGAAATGTATTTGCTTAGTATTTAGTATTTATTGATTGATGGCTGTATTGATTGCAAAGGAAAGAAAGAAAAAAGTGATTGGAGGGAAGATAAACGTTGCTTTGATGAGGAAAAAGACAAGGCTTTTATCTAAAGCAGCCACATTGTGCTCCTCAAAACATAGAAACAATGGGAGCCTTATATACCACACTCCACTGGCAACACTAAAACCAAAGCCTGAGTAAAAAAAGAGTGCAAGGGGTATGTCTTTTGCAAGAGAAAATAAAGAACAATTCATAAGCATCGTGAGCAGAAAGATTTTCTCTTAAGTCTGAGCCAGACCTGGCTGATAGGTATTCACATTCCACTGAAGGAAAGGCAACCTGTTGGAAAGGAGGACCTCAGGGAGGCTAAGGTTTTGCATTCATGTGTAGTAACCTATGACATTATGGAGGACTAAGCATATCACTTGAAAGCACTAACCAAGTGTGTCCCCAGCCAATAGGAGCAGGTGGAGAGGGGATGAGAGAATGTGGGAGAAGAGAGGCCGGCTTTTGGTAACAAATATCATAGAGTCTCATTTTTGCCTATGTATGCACAAAAGAACACATTCAAGCAGGTTCTGAAGCGTGCTGCTTCACATGCAAGCTTTATAACAATGATTTCTCAAAGATTAACTGAGGAAACTTTTTGCTTACTGGTTTGCCTTATGCATTTGCTGGTGAGAGGCAGCCTTT